TAGTGACAACTTTTTTATATTTCTTTATTGTAAATTATTTTCCTTATTACTTATTTGTTTATTTTTCTTTTAATTCTACTTAATTGTTGATAGGTGGCAATCTTACCACATCCGCTAACGGAAAATCAAGGGAATTTGTCAACTCCAGAGCAATCACAAAAATCTTGTTATCCAGCAATCACACGGGCCAGCTCCTACCTAATAAGCACCCACTCACCTTAGTTTTATCCCAAAAGCTCAATACCACTCAATTCCCAACACAACTTGACTTCAAACGACCCCTGCACAAAAACTCCCATATGTAATATTCAAATACAGTAACTGATCAGTCTGTTGCCAAGTCTCCCCTTAGATAGTCATAACATGAAATATGGCAGGCATACACAAATAGACTCTCTTTGTTACAAATGTGTCTATAATATCCTGAAAAAAGACAAACTAAATGTGTATCATCCGTAATAATTATAAATGAGTATAGACACATGCACAGGTGTTTGTAAAGAGTTTGTGGATTGCACAATACTGGCCAGACTGGATCCGGGGCTGCTTTGCTGTGGCGCGCTGGACGGAACCCCCTCTCTCTCCTTCTCTCTCTCTCTCTCCTTCTTGTCTCTCAGATCACAGGAGAACAAAACCAAAAAAGGCAAACAACACTTTAGTCCTTTTATGTACTCACAAGGTTATTTCCCCCAAAAAATAAGAGTGTTACCTCTCTGAGTAATCATAATCTATTTTCCCTAACTTTTTAACATATCTACGTTAACATGCAAGCTAAGGAATTTCGGTGTCGTTTACACTGGGGATGCTGGGGACACTACTCTTCACTCCTATTTAAAGCTTACTCTATTAACAACCGTTCTTCAATACCAATGAAAATGCCTTTCAAAATGTATTTACACACATAAAAAACCCCCAAATGAAATACAAGTAAAATATAAAAACAAATGCGCACTTCCCAAAAAAGTAACTTAGGCTAAGAAAACCCCCACTGCTGCTTCTGAAATGACCCAAACCATACAGCAGCATTGATCAATAACTTTACCAAATTTCAAAACACAGTTTTCCCCTTGATCAAGTTCCCTTCTCTATTTCTTTATTCATATATATGTATATTCTCTTCCTTCTTTATTTATTTATTCTATTATTCATATATATGTTTTCTTGAATCCTGGCCTTATCGTCCTCTGCATAGTCTCTCACACACACTAGGCTTCTCCTATTTCTCACACACACAACCGAGACACAGCAGGGCAGCTCTCCACACACACACACACATGGTAGCTATCCAGTCAACAAGAATGCATTTCTTCACACTGTTTATAAAGCATGCTTCCGCCGCACCTTTTTCCTTTATTATTTTCCTTCCTAAATTTATGCTACCTCGAGTTTGCAGATATTTAATGAGAGGCCACTTCGGACATAGTTCGTCAACACATGTATCGAGAGGTAACTTACAATTAAATTTTTCTTCTACAAGCTCCCAGTTCCTTTGAACGGACCCGAAAATTCACCTAGTTCCTTTCCAGGATTTGCGGCCCATCTAAGATCGCCTTTCAAGGGCTTTTTGTCCAGATCTGCGGCGTCCTAATCCTTATTTTTCCTTTTTCCTTAACCTTATATTTTCTTCCTTATCCTTATTAATTTGTATTCAAGCCGAATGACCCTGGCCAGGGTTACACTCTCTCTCTTTTTCCCTTACTCCAATTTACCTATTCCTTAAAGCCTAGTTTCACGCGACAGTAATTTCCATCCCACATGACTTACGGTTATAAGAATCTGAGGGCCCATATTCTTAATCTTTGCAAAGTTATGAAACCTCACTTCCCGTTACTCCTAGGCTGTTCCTTTTTCTTCCTTTTATATCTATCTATCTGTCTTCATTACATTCACACACACACAACCTTTTTGTGTTATCCACAATGCACACACAATTTAGAACGGAGTCTTCTCACACATCCACCCGCCAGCATTCACACGGGATCGAACCGGTGTACCCTTTAACGCACACACAGACACACGAACTGACCAGCGCCCACAGTTTATGAGAAAACTCACCCTATACGCTAGCTTCTGGAGCGGGAGTCAGCTCGATGGAGCCTGTGATGGAACGATGAATGCAGGCACAACACGGTCCCTTCGTGGTCGCCAATTTCTGTGGTGTCCGAACGATAATGCTGCGATGATGTGTTGAGAAGAAATCCGCTTGACACTGTTCTTGATTATAAAAGTTTATTACATCAAAGAATTCAGCATCAATTACAAGCTCTGCAGCAGCTTGGAGAGTGACCCAGCCCGATGGCCACTCTGTCTCTCTGTACATCGAACACAGCTTAACCATATAACCATATAAGGGCACAGTGCTGTAGAATAAGTGTAACCATCTATTAGACACCACAGAAGGGTACAGTCCCTTCATACACACTAATCTCTTTATACACACTAATCTCTTTATACCTAATCTCTACTTCCCCTAACACTGCACCCATCAATCATTACTTCCCCATAAGGGTTCACTGTCCCTCTCACCAGCTGCAGAGCATTATGTTAAACTGTAATGGCCGGATGCACGTAATGGCCAGATGCACATATGTTATACACCACAGAAGTTTTGTGTGTCTGTAACTATGTCTCCTCATTCTGTCCAGTTAAATATGGTGTGCCTCAGGGGTCAGTCTTAGGACCCATTTTGTTTTCCTTGTATCTGCTTCCCCTTGGACATATTATCCATAAACATGGCATTTCTTTTCATATTTATGCTGATGACACACAAATATACTTGCCCATCAGATCCACAGACCCTGGAATGCTGAGTTCACTTAACAACTGCCTTTGTGAAGTTAAAAAATGGATGTCAAATAATTTCCTCCAGCTGAACTCAGACAAAACAGAAATCCTGGTCATCGGGTCTTAGCAGATGGCAAATCAAATACTGCCATCTGCCGGTTCCCTAGTAAATCACATTAAGCCTGTGGCAAAGAACCATGGTGTTTGGTTTGATAGTAATTTAAATTTTGAGCAGCACACCACAAAGCTTGTTCAATCATGTTTTTATCAACTTAGAAATATAGCTAAAATTCGATCTATGTTAACTTTTAAGGACACCAAGACCATTTTACACGCCTTCATCTCATCACGCCTGGATTATTGCAACAGTCTTTTCACCTGTTTAACCCAAAAATCTATTGATCGACTCCAGACTGTCCAGTACTCAGCTGCCAGGCTTTTAACCAGAACAAAGAAATATAACCACATTACTCCTATTCTAGCTTCATTACACTGGCTCCCAGTATGTTTTAGAATTGACTTTAAAATTTTATTGATCCCTTTTAAAGCTCTTCATGGCCTCTCGCCTTGTTATATTTCTGAACTTTTAGTCCCATACACACCAGCACGTACCCTGAGATCCTCGGGCAGAGGTCTGTTGTCTGTTCCAGAGTCTCGACTGAAAACTAAAGGGGACAGAGCGTTTGCTGTCAGGGCCCCGAGGCTCTGGAACAGCCTGCCCGAGGAAATCAGGTCGGCTGAGTCAGTGAACTCTTTTAAGTCCCTTCTTAAAACATACTTTTATAGGAGAGCCTTTCCCGATCTTATTTGACTTTATTTTATCCCTTTTATTTTATTGTATTTTACTAATTTTATATTAATCTGTATTTTAGTCTTTTCAATGTTTTCATGCTCTTATCTTGTTTTTTTGTATTATTCTTTACACTTGTTAAAGCACTTTGTAACTTGTTTTTGAAAAGTGCTCTACAAATAAGGATTATTATTATTATTATTATTATTATTATTTACCTGTTATGTTCACATAACTGCTGTTTTTCCAAATGCACTTTGTTATATTTCCATACTGAAACTAACTTCCAAAAGAATTATTTCAGCACAAAAAGAGTACATGTCACATAATAGTCCAAGCTTGTTACAAGGTACTATTTTACTTACTGTTATCGTTTTGTTTTATTCCAAAAGACAGATTGGCATTGTCAACCAATCCATAGCCCCACAGATTTATTATTAAAGGCTCCCTGCTGTTGCAAGTGAAATTAAATTGTAGTTTAAAATGAAATCATATGCAATTTTGTATGCTGTGGTTGTTTAAATTTTAGAACAAGTAATTCAGTTAATAAATGTGTGGATTTTGCTTTTTGTTTGCTCCTTTATGTATTTAAATAGCTACACTATTAGCATTCGTCATAGGCTGAAACATTATAACAACTGCAATCAGTATATACAGTATCTCTGGCTATTTACAGGCAGGTATTTGGTAAATCCCAGGGCCCAGAGATGGTGTACACAGTGTACCTCTGTATACAACACTACACTTCAATTAACAAACCCTTCAATTAATGACCTCATCAGGCCGATTGCTGCTTTCACATTCACACATTGACTTCACACATGAAACCGACTGAATTTTGCAACAGTCTCCATCAGCCAAACTTTGATCATAATCTGATGCTGCTGTCTGTTGTCATTTCAGTGTGAAATAGCTTCAGCCCTCCTCCACCCCATTCACCTCGAGTTCATTATAACCAGGCCAAGTCAAGCTCATTAGAAGTCCACTCCTCATCACATCCAGATCTTCAGCATTCTCTTCATCCATCACTGGGAGTTTTCTATACCACTTAGAGCATCACCACTCCCTTTAAATACCATGATGTCATGATGGACTCATCTAGTCTAGACTAGTGTTGGGAATTAGGGTTTAAATGACATCAATATTTATATTACATAATATGATAATGATTATTATTACTATAATTTAATAACTAATAATAGAATATAACTTAATGTAATATTCATCTCCTGGTAGCACTTAAATAAGAGGAAACTGATTACAATTACTTCTCATGAAGATATGGTAAATTTCAATTTGGAATTCTGGTTAATAAATGACTATAATCTAAATGATCATTAATAGCTAATCGGTTAAAAGAATTGGAGTTCTACACAGGAGAGGTCGGCAATATATTCATTTTTATGCAATATTAAAGAAACCAGAATGTATATAAACAAGCATTTATTTAACAAGATAAACAGAGCAAAACACACAAGATCAAAATACCTTAAATATACTAAACTGTGTGTGTGTGTGTGTGTGTGTGTGTGTGTGTGTGTGTGTGTGTGAGATAAGGACAGCGTGCCTGTGTTTCTGTGTGTCTTTGTTCTGCCACCTGTATGGCTCACATGCATGATTGTAGAATACAACAATAAAACCTCTATGAAAAAATGAGATTTACAAAAGCTAGCCAAGTAACGTTACAGTTAAGCTATGTGAAGCTCAAGAAAGCCCAGTTACGTTACAAGTGCGTGAAGGAAGAAAGTTGCTTTGGAGGGCGATGGGTTAGCTGGCAGGTCCATTGTGGATTGAGCCAGGCTGGGAAGAATTGTGGTTCTGTGGCAGTCTTTGCTGTATCGTGTTCTGATCATGCAGATGAGAGTGTCCAGCCGCTCCGTCCGTTTTCCTTAGAGTTAGCCGCTGGCTAGCTGACAAGGTTGCAGGGATCTAAGCGGGACTTTGTGTTTTTGCTGTAAGGTCAGAGAGTTGTCTTCCAAGCAGGCCATACTTCTCTGCTAACGTGCTGCTCACCTTGTGCCACCGCCTTGTGTGGATAGAATGTAAGAATATTTTCTAACCCCGTCCATCCAAGTGCCAGATTATCACAAACAGCAGTCACTAGTCAGAGATGCCTATGTGGTACTGTAAATAACCCTCCTCTTTAGTGTGGAAGAACCAAATGCCAATTCTTTCTGGCAACATAATATTATGCAAATATTAAGCAATCTGATGACAGATGCTGCTCCAACAGTGATAACCTATATATCTGATCCCAAAATAAAACACACTCTGTGCATAATTATTAGACAAACTGTATTCCTCAGGATAGGTGAAGCTGCCTAATAATCATGCACACCTTGATATAAGGTGTTATACACTTTTGCCAAACCCTCCCTCATTAGACAAATACAAATCACCTGAAAATTATTAACTCCAATGAGCCTTCAAGTTTATCTGGTTTGGAGTCGGAAAATGTGCATAGAAATAATGATTCAATCAGAATAGTTACTTGCCTAATAATTGTGCACGCAGTGTAGCTCCTCAAATGTCATTGTTCTAATTTTTGCATTTATAAAGTCAAATCCAAGTCTTAATTGTTTTGTTGATAGCAAGTTTTTGGACAGCTGTGTCTCTTGAGTGTTACAGCTCTGTTCTTCAGCAGTCCATTAGCTGTTGGCAGGCACTCTGCTCCTGCTGTTCCCCTCAGAACTTTGAGTATTCAAAGGGAACATCTGCCGAACAGTACCTAAGTCTAAGTTCTTCCTGAAGGTGTCTGTGGTGAAATAATATGCAACAGGATCTAGTACTGTGTTGAGACATGCCACCATCATGCTGTAACGGTATGCAGCTAGTATGGGGCATGGTGTATTTGCTCTATACATCGAGAGGAGAACCAAGGTGGCATGGTAAGGGAGGAAGCTAAGTAGGAAAATAAGGATGCTGGTGGCAATCATCCTCTGGATCTTTTTGCTATCCACCAGGTTGGTCTGGACCACAGTGCTTTGACGGATAGCACGGACCAAACACCAGGAGCAGATCAGCATGATGACTAACGGAATCCCAAACCCCACCAACAGTGTGGGTAAAACCACCGTGAGCTGGATGGCGTAGATCGGCAGATTATCAAAACAATGTTCATTGACAGAATAGTTGCGATTGGAGAGGTAGATGGGCAGGCTGGCACCAAAGGTGAGTATCCATATTCCTAAACAAACCAGTGGTGCTTTCTTTCTCCCTTCCTGGATTAATGTTGACATTGGGAATGAGACAGCCATGCAACGGTCAAAGCAAATGCAAGTGAGGAGAAATATGCTTCCATACATGTTGGCCTTTAAGACCAAACCAAGGCCATCACACAGCCACTGAGGAAGGCCATTAAATCCCAGATGGTAGTATATCCTCATGGGCAATGTGAGGATGAGTAGTAAATCTGCTATGGCAAGGTTGGTCATGTAGACAATGGTTTGTGATTTAGATTTGCTGTAACTGAAGAAAAATACCAGCGCTATGAGATTAAAAATGAGACCCACAATGGCGATGAAGGAGTACATGCCCACAGCGAACATGTTGATGTGGCCGGTACTGTCATTATGGCAGGTAGTGGAGTTGTAGTTGGACATTATGCCCTGAGAAACAGAAGAGAGAGAAGAGTGGTTAGAAAAAGTTTTGCAAACCTTAACCATGGGCTGGATCTTTTCCTAACCTTAATGAAGTGGTTAAAGTTAACCTGACACAGCGTTTGGATCAAAAAACACAATTTTGGACATGCAGAATAAAAGCGCTGTAGAGAAGGGCCATGAACCTTTTATTTCCTTTATATAAATTTCAAAACACCAGCTGTAATGTGTACGAGATCATGTTATAAACAGTATTTTAATTGATTTTGGCCTGGTCCTTTCTGAGACAATAGCAGAATTTGTTCATTTAGATTGGCTTCTGTCACCTCTGTTCAGCAAGATAAAAAGAGGCTTTACAGGTTAAATAAAGATACCACTTAAGGCTTTAAAACATGAGGGGATTTTTCTGGGTCATCAGTCTTATAGCTGAATTTATGTGCTTACAGTATATTACGAAAGGGCTGTTTGCCTGCTCTACGCTTTTAACATGACATGTTCATGTCAAAATTTGATTTGGTTTTTACGAATTTAAACTAATTTACTACACCCTTAGCAGCTTAGCAGACAAAGAATTCAGGTTTTTCCTCATCGCCCGACCTTACACTTTATTCATGTCACATCCTAGTTGCAAACATGGGGATTATCTCCCACTTGGCTAAAAGAGCTACAGAAGTGTCATCAATGGAAACAAGATTCTGTGTTGACAAGAACAAGACGAGAAGAGAATTGTACAAAGTTGTGGAAATATATGATGGGGTGGGGTCTGGGGATCCTCCCCCAGAGAATTTTTGAGCATTGAACAGTTGATTTTGTGCATTGTGGTGAAATTTTCTGTCTCTGTCTGGGGGAAAAGGGGCTGGTACTTAGAGCTTGGCAATATGGCCAAAACTTTTATCACAATATAAAATTTCATATCATGTGATATCATTGCAATGATTATCATTATTGTTTTTCTGCCCTGCCCTGCTGGTACATCCCATTCAGATGTTGGAGTGTATATCCGCCAGTAGGCCTACTAGGGCTAATGTTAGTATATTCATTATATTTTCAGATCATAGTATATTATAAAGCTTACCACTAGTATAATATTAATTCCTGTTGGACAGCAGTTTCATTTCTGTGGGTAGTTTTCATTCATTAAATCCTTGTGTAAGACAAATGCTCTACATGGTGGTTAGTCTCTAATTATTTAATTCTAAGAACTAATTTGTTAATAATCATTTAATATTTCTACTTTGACATCAAACTTTTTCAGTGTCCCGCCCCATCCAGGCTGTGATAGATCTGTTCATGAAAAGTTACTCTGACGAGCAACTTTACGCAATTCTCCGCCAACAAAGATTAGCAGGCAGACGAGAACGGAAATAGGTGAGTGTCACGTAGTGCCCAGAGAACCTGATAGTGAGAGGGCTGGTCCTGGTACGCACAAAAGTAAATGTAGACATACTCGTACTGGTGTCCTACTTCAAGCAATGCCTATAATTCAATTTAACGCCACTTATCTGTGAAGCCGTCATCCACCGATGGATAACATTTTAATTTAAATTCAAACCCCAATGTTTTCCCTCAGTCATTCAAGTTCAGTCTATTGTCTTTCAGTTTACTACCCAGGAAGTGTATGTCTTTAGGCTGATAGGCTGATTGAATGCTGATAGGCTGATTGAATGCTGATAGGATGATTGAAGTAGTCTGGATGCTGTTCCTCACACTGCAGGGATGACTAGATCAGATCCAAAACAACACACAAATAAATATCAATCTGCATATAGCAGAATAGACTCAAATTTTAGTACTGTACAGTATGCTTCCTCATAAGTATCTATCCTGTATCTTTAGTGTGACAGTAAATGACCAATGATAACAGTACAGAGTACACAGTATAGAATTATTACATACAATAACCGTAAACCTTGCTCAATATTAACATGCCAAAATATGTTCTGAGCACATCTCAGTTACACATGAACTCAACTCTGAATAGGAACTATCAATTATACCTTACAGGCCTTATTTAAGTTATGAGTTAATAAACAGCCCTGTCCAGGGTGTACCCCGCCTTTCGCCCGATGTAAGCTGGGATTGGCTCCAGCCCCCCCGCGACCCTGTACGGAGGATAAGCGGTTGACGATGGATGGATGGATATTCACACATTCAGCACCATTTCACAACTCTTCGTCTGTGCATTAAACCTCAAAACTAGCCTTTAGAGTAAGTTGTCGGTTGAAAATATTCTCCCACATGTAGCCCAATAAATACACACAACTTATGCCTGATGCACGCTATGCATGAGGATATATTAACCAATTTTAAGAATGTGGGATACCACAGACATAACAACAGAATTAACCGATTTTTAACATTTAAATTTTAAAGGGGCTGTCTGTAGTTTTCAGCGGCCAGTAGCGGTGCAGTTTTTAGATTGCAACCAATGTGCTCGTACGTGTGCTCAAACTCATGAGGGAGCAAAATCCGACACATCGGCAGACTCACCGGGAGACATTTTCACACAACACACTGGAAACTCAGGTAAACTCCAACTGCAGCGTAATATTTTTATCAGCTTGAGGATGAAGTAATCCATCCTTGTTACATGATAATGTTACACTGACTGCATTTAGCCGACCTGAACTTTAGCTCGCCTTCCTGCTGTTCAGTAACCGTTAAAGATATTTTATTTAGCATTTAGCCATGATGTTTCAATATTCCATATACCAAGCTTGATAGCTACTAAATACTACGGTAATGTTTAAGATGATAATGTTTCAGATGTTTATTGGTCAAGTACACTGAACTTTTAGGGTGCAGTGCTCTCAGGTTGAGGCACAAACATTTTTGTAAGAACACACAAGACTTCACAAGAACACACACACACCCGGCCAGTAAAAACTAGACTAGAATTATGAGTACAAACGGGACCTTGCATGAAGGCTGCAGCTCTGAAGGTCATCATGTGATACAGTACACAGCACACAAACCTGTGCTTGAGTGGATATTGATTTTAACTCTCGTCTTATGGACATACAATTTTTGCTAAAATCAAGATGATGTCCAACACCGAAAACACATTCTGCAGAGATATTCAATAACTTCACACTTACACAATATAGTGCCCCCAAAATCCCCTTACACATTGACATATGACAATATATATGACAATAAAGAGGCGTCGTTTGTGTTTTAAACACGTTTTGCTTATCTTATCTCGTTATTATGACATCTTATCTCGTAATTTTGACATCTTATCTCGTAATTACAACATCCTAATCTCGTAATTATGAGATAAGGCTTCCAATTTTTTTTGCTTTGGTGAATGCAATGCGCTTCCGTAAGAAACTCTTGACTATGGCTGATTAAAAGCCTTAGGCTAATGTTGCCTACAGGTTTTTACAGTACAGCAGGATCAGCCTACTTACTGCCTTTAAATGTGTTCAATATTTTTTATTTGCTCCCAGTCCGTTTCACACACCCTGACGCAGCACGAGTCTGAATATTTTGAGCAGTTTGAAATACTGAATTAATATGAACGTAGGCTATCTATTTAGGTTAGTATAGCTTTCTAAGGCCCACTATAGAGACTGTAGTCATGTTCCTCCTACCTTTAGCAATGTGGGTGCAAAAGGTGGGACGGTGAGTTTTCAGCAGCCTAAATGTTGAGATTCAGTCTTTCAAATATTATTTGAGCACATTTTATGGCATGAATGATTATTATGAATAATTATGAGAATATATTATGAAGTTAATTTAGAACAATATTTGGAACACTTTTGAGTGTGTTAAATAAATTAATCTCATTTTTGAAGTGGAGACAAGTTTTTTTAAAGTGAGGGAGAACGGCCCGTGTCTTTTAATGTGGAAACGCCGACACACAGCTGAGCTGAAAGACTAAGGCTGATATTTTCATACAGCTCATGAGAACACTTTTTATCAACGCATTATTATAGACTACGCCTGTTCGTTCAGACATTCACACTGTCAGCGACTTTCTGTCTCCCTGCATGCGTCAGATGCAGGCGTGCTACTGTCGTATTTCTGAAGTTTTAAAGTGTAATCCTCTTGAGCAGAGCGGGACACAGCAACACATTAAATCTGTATGTTTGTAGGGGAGGGGCGCTGTGACTACTATCACAGAACGCAGACACAGTCAGCTACCCAATGAGGATTTTTATTCAATCCGAGCACAGATATTGACTCGTATTACTCCTATAATACTTGTACTCGGCAAAATTGCTTTATCCGTACCGGGTACTCGTTTCAGCCGAGTATCTGGCTCAACTCTAGTATTTACAAGGTAGACACAGGCTACGTTCAGACTGCAAAGTTGCCCAAATACGATCTTTTGCTCATATGTGACTCAGATCTGATCTTTTTATGACAGTGTGAACAGCCCAAGTCACATGGTATCTGATCTTTTCCAGTGGGCCACTTTCATATGTGGTCCAAATCCGATTCAGATCGGATCTTTTTAAATGTGACCTGAGTCTGGACACTCAGGTCAGAATTGATGTGACTTTGACGTCAATCTAGAGCAGTTGTTGTCCAGGGTTGGGAAGGTTACTTTCAAAATGTAATCTGGTACAATTACTAATTAGGCAGCTTGTTAAAAAATTTAATCAGTTAATCAGTTAATCCAAGTACCAGAAAATAAAAGTAATGTAACATGATTACTTTTAGTCACTTTCAGATTACTTCAATGCCAAATACGCAAATTTAAAGACAAAAGAATATCTAAGATGCATTGTCTGCTCAGTGCATTTTTAAAATATCCCATTCCCAAACGAATCAAATTCGATGTTTAGGCCTAAATGTTTTTATATCATATGCCTTGGACTAGGCCAGGATCTGGCCCATCAATGACAAAAAATGTTGTTTGTAGCCTATTCTTGATATTTTAGAGTGTGTCATTTCCTGGAAAACGATTTTAAAAATGTTGATGAATCATCCTGCATTGGGGGGGGCCTGAATTCAGTTAGTATCCAATGAAAAGCTTTCTTTGTTTTTATGACGCTGCTGAAAACGAGTGTTTCTAGAACCGGGCACCACTGATTACTGTAGGAAAGCACAACTTTATTCACTGATTTTGCTGAAACTGGATCATATTTGATGGAAAATATGATCTGGTTTTCTCTCTGATGTTCCCCTGCTCCTCTGCCGCAACTCTGTGATTTATGGAGTTTCCTGATGGACACATGGCTTTAACTTACTTTTTGCTGTAGCAACTCAGCTAACTGCTGCCATTAATTAGCTCAGTTAGCCTGCAGCTAACGTTACTGGTCAAACTAGCTTACTCTGCCCGTACTGGGAACTCAGAGCACCAGAGTGTGCATGTAGGTTTACACCTTTACTCAAGCACTAGAGGTTTTTCAGCCAGGGGCGGGGGGACCCGGCAGGGAATGATTGCGGGGAGCGTCACCGAGCGAGCGGGCAACAAAACTGCACTCAGCAGCCTCCCAGTGAACACAATACGAACAGGACTGAACACATCCTCATTAGCTGACTCAGCCCCAGGGTGACAAGAGCCAAACCGGCAAGAAAAACACCTTCGTACTGTGTTCCTAGTGGTCAGACTGGCCTTCATCAGTCTCGGAGTCTGTGATCGGGTCTGGCTGCCGTGTGTTCACTCATGAAGCTGAGCTGGTCCGTACTGAGTCTGCATGACGGGGTGGGGGCGTGACCACATTCAATTACACCGATCAATAGCAATAGACAAATCCTTCACTAGCTGTGTGTTTCTACAGGAAACACGTAAATAGCAAATAGCAGTCCGCTTTCCGTTTAATGGGAACTTTGTGCTTAAAGTAATCCCTTTGTGTAATCCCCATTTTTACTAAATGTTCCTGTAATCTGATTATGTCTTTATTTTCTGTACTGTAACGGAATACAGTTACTTTATTTTTGTATACTGATTACGGAATGCTGTTACATGTAATCCATTACTCCCCAACCCTGCTGTTGTCACAGTTCTGCTGTAGAGGGATGCCGCTATGAACAAAAAAACTCCACAATTAAACATGTGGCTCTCTTTCTCCTCTATCTTCTATCATCTGCTCACAAATTCCCTTTCTTGAACCTGAAAACCACCGGACCGCAAGCTCTCTTCTGAATTATGTACATGCTACTAGTCCTTGCGGACACAGTGGACCTTGGGTGCATGGTGCTATAAAGGAGATAATTCTATCCTGGACAAAAGCCACAAGTACTTTGCAATCCGAACTTTGGGGGGATGGGTGTTGCTATCAGTTCTGTTTTGTTTCATTTACTTAAGTTTTGCACACCAGTGATGTGATCTTTAAAATCTGTTGCTTAATATGCTGTGGCCATGTAGCCAGACCTGAGTCATTGTCATTGTTATTTTGTTACTTTGTTTCCCAGCTTTTCCCGGTGTCATGTAACTCGTTAGTGTTACAAGGTCTCAGGTGTGCATGGGGAGCAGGTGTGTTAAATCTGGTGTTATCGCTCTCACACTCCCTCACACTGGTCACTGAAAGTTCAACATGGCACTTCATGGCAAAGAACTCTCTGAGGATCTGAAAAAAAGAATTGTTGCTCTCCATAAAGATGGCCTAGGCTATAAGAAGATTGCCAAGAACCTGAAACTGAGCTGCAGCACAGTGGCCGAGACCATAGAGCGGTTCAACAGGACAGGTTCCACTCAGAACGGGCCTCGCCATGGTCGACCAAAGAAGCTGAGTGCACGTGCTCAGCGTCATATCCAGAGGTTGTCTTTGGGAAATAGTCATGTGAGTGCTGCCGGAATTGCTGCAGAGGCTGAAGGGGTGGGGGGGGTCAGCCTGTCAGACCATTCGCCGCACACTGCATCAAACTGGTCTCCATGGCTGTCGTCCCAGAAGTCGCCTCTTCTAAAGATGATGCACAAGAAAGCCTGCAAACAGTTTGCTGAAGACAAGCAGACTAAAGACACGGAGACCAAGATAAACTTATTTGGTTCAGAGGGTGTCAAGCGTGTGTGGCGGCAACCAGGTGAGGAGTTCAAAGAGAAGTGCGTCTTGCCTACAGTCCAGCATAGTGGTGGGAGTGTTGTGGTCTGGGGCTGCATGAGGGCTGCCGGCACAGAGGAGCTACAGTTCATTGAGGGAACCATGAATGCCAACATGTACTGTGACATACTGAAGCAGAGCATGATCCCCTCCCTTTGGAGACAACATGATAACGACCCCAAACACACCTCCAAGACGACCGCTGCCTCGCTAAAGAAGCTGAGGGTGAAGGTGATGGACTGGCCAAGCATGTCTACAGACCTAAACCCTATGGAGCATCTGTGGGGCATCCTCAAACAGAAGGTGGAGGAGTGCAAGGTCTCTAACATCCATGGACGAGTGGAAGAGGACTCCAGTGGCAACCTGTGAAGCTCTGGTGAACTCCAAGAGGGGTTAGGCAGTGCTGGAAAATAATGGTGGCACTTTGGGCATTTTCACTTTTCACTGGTTGCCAGCAGTTTAGACATTAATGGCTGTGTGATGTGTTACTTTGAGGGGACAGCAAATTTACAATTGTTGTACTCTCACTGCTTTACATTGTAGCAAAGTGTCATTTCTTCACTGTCGTCACATGAAAAGATATAATCAAATATTTACAATAATGTGAGGGGTGTACTCACTTTTGTGAGATACTGTATAACCTCCATTGGTTTTGATGTTAATTATTAAAAATAAAATAAAAGCAATAACAATCAATACATCTATTGATTTGTGAGATGTTCATACCATACTCTGAATTATGTGGAAGAATCACTTTTAAAATGTTTTACATTAATAGGTAATTAGATCTAAAAAGAGGTTCCAACACATATGTCAAAATGTATTTATTTCATGTATATTTTTTTTCCAATGAGGTCTATCCATAAAACTATATTATATTTAAGAGAACATCTCATTGTAGCCTGCATTTCCTGGTGGACCGCAGCTCCTTTGTGTTACATGTATTTATGGGTTCAGCAACAAATGTGTTACTTCCTCTACAGTATAATTTTAATACTATTTCACCAAACTTTTGTTTTTTACGTAATGTAAAATTTGCATCTTGTATATCTGATATTTTCAGCAGTACTATATCTGTTTCATTGATAAACTTTAAATTTAAACTTTAACTTTAAAAGGTTTTATATGCAACGCATATAGTGAGTGAAAGAGTAGAACGTTTTTTGTTTGTATTTATTTGTAACTAACAATTAATCTGCTCTCACATCTCTGAATATTAATTTCTATAACTGCATGTCTCTCAAAAGCACAAAACAAACATGACACACAAGTCATATACCTATATAAGTCATTTTCCATAAGCACAGGTCTTTTTCCTGTTGAACAGATTTGTGCTGATAATGAAATTGAATGACACACATGCAGTGCAATAGTACAGTTTACAGTAAATGAGCCAACAGTGTGACTTTACCTGGATGATCAAAAGAGGTGACGATCCAGAGGACTAAGAAGATGAGTGCGTCTCTGTCACCCCAGCACACACTGACATCCCTTATTCAGCACAGGAAGTTGGCCAACCTTAAGATGACAGATTTTAAGATTAGACAACTTCCTTGATGTATGTGTCTACTACTTCCTAAGACCATCTCAAGACAAAGACCCATAGACCAAAGAAAAATTAGGCAAAAATGTTAAACAATGTAGCCTACATGATGAATTCAAGAAGACAATTTAGGTATTTTGCTGCAGACACAAAATTAGACAAAACCTAATGACAGAATTTCTAGATCTGCAGACAAAGTACAGCATTAACTATATAGATGATTATTTTATTTTATTTTATTATTCATGAATTTTGGGGTCAAATCTCAAGCTCCAAGACAGGTTTAATTCAATTAATTATTATAAACAATACCATCAGAGAAGTGACTTTAAGATAAGTGAGATTAGGGACAGAAGTGAACTGCTTCCTTATATAATTATCATAATACAGTCATCAGCCTAATAATACACATATTCTATAAACACTAGGTCTAATCTGACTGATTAACATACTTACATTAGCCAAGGCCTAATGAAACTAAGGGAAAAACCTGCAGAGATGTTTCTATGAGCCATGACAGTCATTGCTCAGTGTAGCCTACTGTTTTTTAAGGAAGTTAAACTTTTATCTGTATTTATTGTAATGTCAATAAAACTGATTTGACTGACTTGCATGAGGTGATATTTAAATATTTCTTATTACATTGGGGGGCCCTCTAGCGGCTAATAAACTAATAACAACATGACTGTGTTTGAAGATTCCCATTACATTTACTCCCTTTTAGCATTTTATGCTAACCAAACATAATAAAAATACAAACATTTCATGTAACCTCAGCAGAACTTGTAAAATTGATGATTAAGTAAAAATATAAGAATATAACAAATAAACAATAAGAGAATAATAAGACAATGTATGGAATGGTTATGCAAATCAATGGTAGTAAACATTCTAACCTTAGGGAATCAAAGTGAATTATCATCAGTATTTCTAATTCTAAAAATGTGGAGAATATGAACCTTTAACATATCAGAATTCACTCAAACATATGAATGAAAAACTAGTGTGATTTGCAAATAGGATTTGAGAAGTAGAAATGAATCCAATTATTTCATTTTCTCCAACACTAAATGGTGTGACCCACTCAGTTGAATCAGTTAGTTGAGTTGGTATTCACATTTATTGGTCCAAAGATGATTTATTTGCAGTATCAATCAGATCTAGCACAAGGACTCACACAACATGCCAGGAGGTGGAAACACCAACAATGATGAACATCCTACCACCCGCCTGTAGTCAGCCATGACTACATGTCCCATGCTCCTGTGTTCTGTGGATAGGACTGTTGCAGTGAAGTAATTGTAGTCGGGTCTCGGACAGCCCGTGGCAATCCGTCCTTAAAACTTTACATCGCGTGTTTTGAAGCACTAATTTATTAATTTATAACACACTGAAGTATAAAGCAAGAAAGTATGAACATTGTGGTTGTTGCAGTGTTTACATTCTCCATCTGTTGGCTTGGCCAGTAGCGCCATATGTCAATTTGGTCGGTTATCGCGACAACCCTATCTGTGAGTCCTAGTTTTTCTCTTCGTGCAGCAGAGCTTTCAGATGTGAGACAACATGAGTCATGTTTTCTGATACATCTGGGATGCATGTATCAGAATACATGAAAACATTCTTCTGCAGCCTTTGGGATGGCATGTTTTACCTGTTCGTGGATTTCAGAAAGCACAGACGACAAGGTCGCACAATATCTCAATATTTCATCTTCATATTGGCTGGTGTCAGGGAGTTGTCTTTTCACTGGCCCAGTTCCAGTGTGGTGTAATGCTCTGCCAAATAGGATTTCAAAAGGACTAAGCCCCTCTCTGCGCTTCTTGTTATAGCAGAAAAGAGTGTCCTCTTACATTTAATCTTTTATGTATAATCTTTTAATATTATTATTATTATTACTATTGTATACAACTATACACACTATATGTATTGTGTTTTTATCCCTATCCTTTCCTCTTTTTTACTTCTTATGTTAGTCTGTCCACATTTACTAGGGTTTAGGTCAGAGCTGTGAGATTGTTTTCATGTTTTTCTCTCTTGTTGATCCTCTCCTCTACTGGAATGTTCATTTCAGGAGAGGACAGGATCTCTGTTCCCTAACACATAGAAACCTAGACTGTGTAAATGATGATGCATCCCTTTGCTCGGGGCCAGACGCCCAAAGCCGTCCTAGGCGGCAGGTCTCTGGACCAGCTGTATATGTGTTTAAGTACTTCTCTGTTTATTCTCTTTTGTTAATAAATTCTTCAAAGACAACGGTTGGTTGTAACTCAATTCTTTGCTCAACCCCTCACCAGGAATACACAAAAATTCTCATGTGCCATTCTCTCTCTCTACTGCACCTCCACTAGCAGGATGATAAGCACAATGTTGTCTCAGATTAATCCCCATATATACTCTCCTACACTTTTCAATGCTGCACTAATGAAAGGTGTGCCGTTATCACTGGAGATTTTTGCTGGGATGTCAGTTCAATGAAATCCATTTGTAGATGGTGAATATGCTACCTCTGGAATCTCAATAGCCCTCCCCACATTGCACCCTAACACTTGTGCAACTTTGACACGTTGTTTTGGAGAAGTGATAGAAATCCTTTTTAAACCAGTAACTGTTTAGTTCCTGTATCATATTTAGGCAATACTGTGAGAAATACTGAATACTGTTAAAACAGTAAATTGAGAGGTTAATTTCAGTTTTGCTGCAGTCTTTGCTGCAAGGTTAGCAAGGCATTCTCCTGTCTTAGGCAGCAGCACAGCATCAAGAAGTTCAGCAGTGTGTGATGAGTAATAGTTTTCCTGTGGATGTTAAGAATTTTCTGTTTGCCCACAATCTTCCAAAATCGTGTGTCACAACCCATGAGTAGCAACTGTCTGTATAAATGTTTACAGTTTTATCTTAGCATATTTACATGCTTCTGTCAGTAACTAATTCTGCTGCCTGTGCAGAATAGTTTGAAGGTAGTGGTGGCCACAATTGTCTCATGCAAAGTTATTACTGCAAAACCTGCTAATCTGCTGGATCACGTGATGCTAAGCCATGTCTGGATTCGTTAGGGGTGTCTCCTGTAAGTTTGCCCTTGGGGAGCAGGCTTCTGTTATCACTGCAACACAGTCATGCGGCTGTCCTTCATCTGGGGTTGGGAGGAGAGTAGCAAGATTTAGTACAGTGCATCAGCAATGACATATCAAGCAACATAGTGTTGTATCTCAGCCACCTGGCTATAGATTGATGAGATGTTTTTTGTTCCAGCAAAATAATTGACACTGCATGTAGACTCAACAAAGTCAAACCAGAAAGCCCACAATGTCACGTGATGCAATGACTGCTTTTTCAGCAGCCGCCAAAGAGCAGCTACAGATCTTAGTCATCTCCTATGGTCTTGCAGCAATGCTGGAGTCATGCAACCTCACTTCTGTCAAGTGCCTGTGTAACTGCGTGTTTGTAGTCTGGTAGGTCTAGTGTTGAGTTTTGAAGAGCCAGCTTTAAATCAAAACAAACTTTTTCAGGCCTTTCCCATATGCGGTTTTTGCCCATGGTGCATTAATGTTATCTTCATTTGCTAACCCACTGTCATTCCCAAAAAGTTAATGTACATGTTTCTTTGTCTCTAATTTTGGGATGGTATGAATGGCTGAATTGGGCAAGAGGGCTTTTTCTCCCACTTTTGCAGTGATCACATCACCCAGAAAAACATCATTCAGAAACAGAGTGCAGTTTATATATGCTAGCTTTATGGCCATTATCAGGGAGGTGTTAAATCTAGAAGTTTCTTTCGAAAAGATTTGCTAGTCATGAGTTATTTTTGTCATCCGTTTTCAAATTTGGCATCAGAAAATCTATTTTTGGAACAGTTTTTACTGCATTCTCTATTGCAGAAAATATTTTTTTTAATATTATATTTTATTTAATGTCTTTTCTCACCCACCAGCCTCACAGGATGTTTTCATCCAAGGTCCTAAATCCTCCCACCTGTCATGTTTAGCTTTGACTAGAGGGACATGAAGAACTGAATTAGGTATCTGTAACAGAGTTTTAGAGTGTGGATTATTCCCCATAGATGAACACATCTATTATTACTCCAATATAACCAGTTCAGCTTTAGTGTCCTCAAAGGTCATATCAGCACCAAGATGCATATGTGATGTGTAGCCTAGTTGTTTTGGAGACAAGATGTCTGTCTGTGTGCATGCAGTTTTGAAAAGTCTTTTGACTTCTGTGACAAGGGAATGGTTCACAGAGTTTACTGCTGCTTCTGGCTCCCTTTCATTCAGTTTAATAAACTATGATGCCGTATCAGAAACTCTGGCCAATTCCCTCAGGAGTGGAAATCTTGAGCAAGAAGATTCACTGGACAATTATCTGATAGCAGAAATGAGAAGTCACTGCATGTTAAAGGCGCAGTGAATCTCATACCTCTGCTGGAGAGAGATGATTTGGATGCATTTTGCACTCATTTTTGGAGTAGTTTGAAATTCTTGACTTCTAATGAGTGATCATGTTGCCCCTGATTCAACTACAAATCGGATATCTTTCCTTGCTACATAAATTGTGTGTTCAGGCATGTGTTTATATGCATCATTTCTGTTTAGCACATATCTCTGTTGGCTTTCTTTATCAGTTTCCTGTCTGAGCTCAAGGTGCCTCACAGTCTCACTTATTAGAGTCTGTATGTCTGCTTCAGTGTCAGCATGTGTGTCAGTTTGGGTGCGCTCACAAGATTTATGTGTAGGTTGTTCTGCATCTCAGCTCCTGTGTCCAAACCAGTCCATTCCTTTTCTGGCCTTGGTTTTCCCCCCTCTTGTCAATCTGCCATTTGATCAGTTTCGTGGTCAGGGCAATCTCTAGCCCAGTGTCTAGTTTTGTTTATCTGAAACAAACATTAGATCTGCCACATCGTCCTCCTCTGCCTCTGTTCTGATTCTCTACGCCATCACCTCCAAATTCCTCACCTCCATTTTAGACCCGAGGAAATGTTCTGTTTTGTACGGTAGAGTGACAGGTCCCCCAGCCCCCTCTACTATGGCCTCACCCAGGGTGTCGAGTCGAGGGTAGATCTTCAGAACAGGCATTGGGTACCTGTTTTCTTGCTCTAGTTTTTGCACTGACACCTGTTGTGTTGCTGTCTGTGGTGTTGGTAGTGGTGGTACTGATGCAGGCTGGTGCTATCTTCTGTCATTGAACAGAAGAGGGGGTCTACGCCACCACTTATCCCCCACTTACAATGCTGTCCTTTTATCACTTCCCAGGAAACTCAACAAACATAACCTATTGGCCTCAGGTGAAGATGGTCGTTCAGTCTTGGATACCAGCAGTATCGATGATTCTGGCAAACGACCCCACTGAGGTTAAATAGCTGAGTTTCCCTGCCAGTCAATCAGAACTGAAGAAGTCCTTTGGATGAGGGACGAAACGTCTTCCAGTATCTTCAACCAAGTCCAGTTGCCCTTGACTTTAACCTTCGTTAGATAACTATGACCTGGATCACTGAGAATCTTCATAGACACCCAGAGGAAGCACATATCGAGAAAACATAATAGGTTCAAGGATTGACCCCTGGGGCACACTGTAGTTGATGGTAGAAAAAGAAGACTTCAAATTATTTATAGAGACACAAAACATCCTATTGGATAAGTATGAACTTACATACTGGCCCTTAGTATAGGCCTTCATTTCAACCTGAAACGAGCTGTAGATACAGCTGTCTCTTTAAGAGCGCCCCTCTCAAAGCCCACTGTCTTCTATTTGGCCAAGACCTGAAGCATGTTACCAGGCTGTTGTTGCTGCTCAGAGCCTATAGGGATACCTCATGATTTGAAGCTTTGGCCATGCTTAACATGCACATCCAACACTGCAATATTGTAGATAAGTCATAAAATATGGTAAAGCATAATATGTCTCCTTTAAAAGCAATTGTGGGGTAACCTAGATCTAAAAAGGCAGGGTTTAGGCTAATACTGGCTCTTAATGATTCCATCTAACCAACAAAGTGTAATAAAAACGTCTCACAATCTGCATCACAATCTGCAGAGGCACAGGGAGAAGCAGGGTTACCACTGAACCATTAAAAGCATACTGACATCAGGGTGGTGTGTCAACAGTTCTGCGTCGCACCACAAAGCACTCTAGCAAGTGGTTAAAACTGCCCAATGGATCACTGACACCCAGTTTCCCACCATCGAGAACATTTGTCACAAGCACTGCCTGGCCAGGACAAGAAACATAATCAAGGATGGCTCCCACCTTCACCGTGGACTTTCACCCTCCTCCCATGCGGCAGGCATTACTGATGTTATTATATACGTGTATATAACCTACTGTGTATACATTGTTATACTCTAATACTTACCATATACACAGATGCTGTTCACGTTATACATATTTGCTCTCTCCATTCTCTAACTTTGTCCACTTCTACTCTATGCGTTTTTAATATACTCAATTATATTGCATATTGCACAAAACTACAGAAGAGGGAAGAAATCAAGATAGTAACATGCGTTAATGGGAAAAGAATGCATACAGATGAAGTGAGAGAAGGTTCAAACAACCGTGGATAAGAGAAGAGCAGTAGAAGCAAAACACCCGAAATGTTTGACTTAAAGCGAATAGCCTCTACTCGACCATTCACTTGACGGCAAGGCAATGGTTGTGCGGGAACGACAGGTTGATGATATCTAGAAAAAAAGTGCTAACTAGGGGTAAATCTTATTACAGTTTTTTTCAGTCGTTAACAAGCGCTTACCCATACTTCAGATACTTTTTCTAAACTCTTAACACAGACTCACACCTACAAAACACAATTGGCCAAATGGATAATTTTCTTCTCAAAAACACATTTTGTTAAATATATACTAACTCTTCATTTAAAAATATAACACATTTTTCTCTGCACACACTATCTTTACCAAAACACTGGAAATCTGACTCAAAATGAAATTATTCTGTCAAAGAATGACACTTGTTTTCACTTCACAAAGTACATGCAGTCAATCAAAGTACACCAGGTTTCAAAATACTGGCTATTGTTGACATTACAAAAACTACATAGACTTTTATGTTTCAGTTTTACAGGTATTTGCATGCAAAACATGCAATCCACCGTTTTTACACTAAATTTCTTGGTTGGTAACTGTATGTCCACAGTAATGTTCACATTCAAAAGCATTCCAGTAAAAAGCAAATCCGTTTTTTTTTTTCCTTTACTGTTTACTACAGGAGGTACAGTAGAAACACGGTATGATAGAACAGAAAAAGTCCAGATAAAAATTGGGGGAACTAAAAAAAAAAAAAACACAACATTGCTGTATCTAATCTCTGCGATCTTCAGGGTTAGGCCACATGTTTTCGTCAACATCACATCTGATATTATCCAAGGCGATGCACCTGGGATAAAACCGCTTGGTATGTCGGATCCACCCTTGACAATCCTGAACTGTGATGTCCCTGCAGCCAGCATCCATGGCTTCAAGGAGGGACATCTGGTCATGTGGCTGATGGTCATAAACCTTCCACCTCCATGCTGAAAAGAACTCCTCTATGGGGTTGAGGAAAGGTGAATAGGGTGGAAGGAAGAGACTTACCAGTCTTGGGTGAACTTCAAACCATGTTGTTATTGCTTGCGCATGATGGAAAGCCACATTGTCCCAGGTAATTACAAAGGTCCTCATGTTTTCACCCTCCAGATCCTGCTCTGGAACCAGGCGCTGGTGGAGATCATTGAGAAAGGCAAGGATGCGCTCAGTATTATAGGGTCCAACCTAACATCTGTGAAGGAGTAATCCTGCATTTGCAATTGCTGCACACATGGTAATGTTTGCCCCTCTCTGTCCTGGCACATCAACTGTGGCCCTTTTTCCAATTACATTTCGTCCACGTCGACGCCTTTTGGCCAGATTGAATCCTGCCTCATCTATGTAAATGAATTCATGAGGGGCCTGGTTGGCCTCCAATTACAAAACTCTCTGAAACAAAGTTTATGTAAATCATGTCATTACTGTAATCCATACTGTACTGTAACCTATTACTGTGTAGGTTACCTACTTGCAAAGTGCAAAGCTTATAGAACTGGACATTGAATTGAATATACACTATACCTGGACATATTGTCGTCGTAGCTCCTTGACTCTCTCACTGTTCCTCTCAAAGGGAACAGTGTAGAGCTGCTTCATCCGCACTCTGTGTTTGGACAATGTCCGCGTAATGGTTGTGAGGCTGATGCTATCGGTCCTCCACAATTCTAGTCTGAATTTCACGCAGTTTTATTGCATTGTTTGCAACAACTATTTCTACAATGGCAAGCTCTTGATCATTATTGAGGAGCTTTCCTCTTCCCCCAGAGGGTGGAAGACGTTGCATTCTTTAGAGGGACAAAAAAAATTAACATATGCATTACTGTATGACCTTATTGACATGTCAAGTGAGAATAGAAACAATCCATGTAAAATGCAATACTTAGCTGTTGGTTTGTTGAAAGATGCGTATAACGGAAGCAACCGTTGACCGCCTCAAATTGGGCTGCACTCTTTCACCAGCCTCTCTTAGTGAAAGACCGTGGTTGATTACATGGTCAATGATAGTGGCACGAATTTCATCACTGACTACTGTTCTTGGAGCCCTTGGAATGCCACCACCACGCATTCTTACACCTCTACCTTGCCCTCTCCTTGGGCCTGCTCCTCTCCCTGGTCCTGCTCCTCTCACTGCTCCTGCATCTCTCCTTGCTCCTGTACCTCTCACTGGGCCTGCTCTTCTCCCTGGGCCCCTTGCTCTTACTCTTCCTCGTCCAGACATTACAGTGTTTGTCTTTTTCTGTTTCTGTTTCCAAACACATCACTCCTCAAAGTCCTCCTTTTATATATGTGTCAATGTAATAGAAGAAAAAAACCCTGCCACTAAGCCAGACTGGAATCAGCTGTGGTTGGCCCAATTTACCCAACATAAATCAGCTGTGTGTCAATTATTTAAATGTTTGTTTATTATCAGCCAAGATATATTGTTTTCGAACTGATATCATTGCAGAAACAGAGGTTTTTATACTGTATCTAAGGTTTGGAATATTGTTTTTGCTATTGTGGGATGGTGTGTGTTAACATTCGTAAATACTACAAAAATAATCCATAATTTTGTTGGGAAGTATAGCTTGTCTGTTAAGAAGATTTAAGCATTGTGGAAATGTGTTCACTGACTGCGTATTGTGTGAAAACGACATGAAATGTGTGAATGGTATGGCCACAAAAGACCGAGGCTGTGCTAACTGTGTTTAGAGTTTTGAAAATGTGACAACTGATTGGACAAACGCTTGTTAGCGACTGAAAAAAACTGTAAGTAGGCATGGGGTCTGAGATACAGGTTGATGGTTTAAATAAATTGAATTTAGTTGGTGAAGACAGACGGGAGAAAAGAAGTGACAATATATACCAGGCTTTACAGTTGTTTCTGATGTTTACAAAGATTGTCATACTAGTATTTATAAATGACAACTTGTCACATTTTTCTATATGGATGTGTATTTTTGCTTAAATGGTGGTTAAGTATTCTGGACACCAAGTAGACAACTAGATTCAGTTAATTGAGGTTTAGCTTCTTCTAAATCCTCTGTTAGCGTCTCTTTGATATAGTTTGTTTTGTAACCAGCAACAATGAAATCTTATGTTCACAGCTTTAATACAAAATATTTTAAAACATACAAATTTACAGACACAAAATAGCTTACATCAGTCCTTCCATCTACATTCCACGATCAGTGTAATCTGACAACAATGAAATAGTAATATTCAAAGAAATTGTTAAGAAAGTTATATTTGTCGATAATCCCAGTCATACCTCTTGAACAATGTGTAATAACGACGATTATTTGGGGCACAAACAGAAAACCAGAGGCCATCTGAACAATGGGTAATCTATATTCATTAGGACTCTTAACTCCTATCCCATCATTGCCTGGTGCAGCAGATTATGATAATGGCGATGTTAAAGATAATGATTGTAATGATGAAAACAGAGTTGATGGTGTTCCCCTTCCTTTTTTTTCAAGAAGTCATGGTGAGTTGTATTTCAGCTTACTGTTGAGAAAAGACAGAGAGACGGGTTAGTTTACACGCCTGGACCACAGTTCACTCACATAAACTGAAAATACCTGGTGTCTGTGTCTCTGAACAAGACATTAGTCTAAGTGCACTTGACTGTGACCAGTAAGTCAAATAAAATTCTCCCTACATGGATGGTTTATGAAAGCATCATTATGTCAGCATGTTAAACCCACAACAAAGAAATGGCGACTATTTAAGTTTTCTGTTCTGCCTGCAGTAAAGTAAGCAGACCACTATGTTCATTTGCATTTTTGAGGGTTTTACTTGTGAGGATGATCCATAGAAAAGAACAGGCTCTACTTTTTAAATTAAATCTCACTGAAGTCCTTTAGGGTGTAACTAGCCAGGAGCAAGAGTGCAGTTTGCCCTTTTCTTTCAGTCTAATGTTACTTTATTTGATGACACAGTGAGCAATATAAATGAATACAGTACCAATACGCCTGAAAGTAAACAGCAAACCTTCATATAAGTCTGATCTGAAAGAAAAGTACAGAGGAAAGTACGTGTGAAACTGAACTCCAAACCACAGCGATTCAGTTAGAAACTAAAATCTTGTAATAGGCAGCTGAACAGAGAGAGCTTCCTCTATGGTCACCAGCACAGACATGCATCAGTTTAGAACAAGACACAGTTGTGGTTTTAGCAGGGCTTCTATACAGGACCACAGAAGCGTTGCTTAGCAAGGCAATCTCTTGCTGTGAGGCCACAGTAGAAACGCGTATCAACTCTGACCAGGAGGGGTGGTTCTTGGGCTTAAGCCCTTAAAGTGAACTGTGGTGAACTACTTATTCAACCTCCACATGATGTAGTCACTTTTGCAAATGCTTTGACACATTTATGCAAATTATTATGTACAATTGTCTGCTGTTTTACCTACATTATTAATTGCTTATGTCATGTTAATCACAATATATTACACTGGTTCTCTGTTGAATAATCTTAACCCCCATAACATCTAGGCATAAGTCACTTCATGCAAAATGGTTGAACACGTTGTCATAATCTGTTAAGCATATTTCCTATTTGTCTTTTTTTTGAATTGTTGAAGATATTCATTGTGATGTAGATGAGAATCTTTTGCCCAACAGACAATAATGTCAGTAAGGGGTATTTCCCATATTTACATTTGTAGTTTTGCTTTTTTCCTGTCCAATTTCTTGCAATGTATAACTTTGTACTGTTGAAATTGATAAATGCCACACAGAAAAAGTGCAGCCTTATGCGTTTTCAATAATTCATCAAAACCTTAGCCATAGTTTACATAAGATAATACTTATAAAGTACAGTGTTATATTGACAACATAGTTTAAGATTTTGACTATCTTGTTTGACACAAGGAATTGTTATTCTGATGACATGTTCACTGACATAAATATGCCTCTACTTTTGACTGATACATAAAGGATTTTTAGCTTATGGCCTTTTGTGATGCTGTTTGCACGATCTGATTCGAGAAATGCAAGTACTTTTTTGCAAACGTTAAGGTTGATTCAAGAAATGTAAAGAGTGTGTGTGTTTGTGGGGGTTAAACCCGTATGTGCGCCGTAGCTGGCTGGTGGTAGCCACATGGTGTTGTTTTTAAGTAGGCCGCTTTTCTTTCTTATTCACCAATATGTCTTGCGTCTCTGTCAAAGAGGAATGTGGTGGATTTGGGAGGTTACTGTACTGACTGAATACCCGAAAAAGTCTCACTTCCCCTGCACTCAGTTGTTTGTAGTGACATTTCAGGATTTTGACAATGACAACACTGGCCATGCTCCTTATAATTTTCTTTTTGACTTCTGTACTTTGCAAATACAATGGTCTAGGTGACACAGCTGCAGCTGCAGCAGCAGCGCTTGTCTGTGTTGGAGAGAAGTACATAAAGAGAACTGTTCAATTTAATATGTTAATATGAAAAGAAACTGATTTAAGGTTAGGTATTTACTTCATATAATCTTATCAGTTGTTAAACCATGCACAATAAGGAAACAAGGCACACAAATGTGCCAATATGGGGTTCCCTTCTAGACACGAACACAGTGCGTGTGTGAGCATGTGCTTCGGAACTGTGGAGCCCAAGGGCCCATCATATTAGCCTGCACTGGGGCCTGTTGTTACTTCCTTATGCTACTGTGTTGAAACATCATCCATCCATCCATCGTCAACCGCTTATCCTGCGTACAGGGTCGCGGGGGCTGGAGTCAATCCCAGCTGACATTGGGTGAAAGGCGGGGTACACCCTGGACAGGTCGCCTGTCCATTGAAGGGATACACATTGACAAACAACCACTCACACTCACATTCATCAATTCATCATCAATCTAAGGACAATTTTGGAGACATCAATTAACCTAGCCTGCATGTCTCTGGATGGTGGGAGGAAGCCGGAGCACCCGGAGAGAACATGCAAACTCCACATAGAAAGGCCGGGGAAACCAGGATTTGAACGCACGACCTTCTTGCTGTGAGGCGACAGTGCTAACCACTTTTGTGCTTCAAATAATTCTACTTTTTAGGGTATATGCATTGAGCCCTGGTACCTTCTACACCCCTTCAGTGTCTGTATGAGATGCGCAGGAAGTCCACGTGGGATGGATGTATGGATGGATGTGTCTAACAAACAAAGGAGTTTCACCCCAGAGAACAGGGTTCATATCCTGTGGGTAACCAAAAGTCAGCGTTGGCTTATTTAAAGTTTTAAGAGACGTGATTCACGTTGCAGGTTGCAGAGGAGCTGATGCGAATGATGTGTAGCCATGTGCATCATAAAAGCTGTTTGGTTGATCCAACTTCCTGTCAGGAGGCATGCTTAAAACAAAAAAGACAAACGGTGCTGAACCCTTCAGTCTGCTCTGGCCTCACCTCCTTGCCGGAGCAGGTCCCACAGAGACATCCAAACAGTCCATTAACCATCTGGATGAGACAGAGGACAAGCTCTATGCATGCTGCCACTAGCAGTGTGGAGAAGAGTCCCACATTGAATTCAACCACATTCTTCGGAACTTGACACCATTTCCACATTTCCTTGTCAGTCAGGTAGCTCCCATTACTGGAAAGGATGGCAATAAGTAGTGTTGTCAAACATCACAGAGACAAATTTAAAATATTATTTAATGAATATACAATGAAAATATAAAACATCCATAAAGACTTGCTGTACCTGTTGGCGAAGGGTGTCCCCCATTTTGGAATGAGGTTGTTTTCATTGCTCCAGAAGCACGTTGGCCCATTAGCAAGGCCCAGGGCCGCAACGCTCAGACTGTACACGGCCCCCGCCACACCAACTGCTGCAAAACCAATGGACAGAAACATCTGCATGGAGCACACGCAGTGGAGTCAGTATAAAGAGCGACAAAGAGCATGAGCAGTGCAGGAAGTAACAGATAAAACCATGACACTGACACTGACATTTGACATTTTCTTACCAGAATTTAGCTTGACAATACATTTTTGGTTATAGGGCTTGTTTGAATTTTTTATAGAGCAGCTGGTTTATTCATTAAGACAGGAACTACTGGTTTCCATTTACTTCACTACAGTATGAATTTCAAAATGCAGGGACCAGGCGTCAACGGTAAATTCAATAATATTTTTTTCCAAACCCTGGCATCATATAGTGTATATAGCCTTCAGATATTCAATAGGTCATCTTAGCTACAGCGGCATGGCTGGCGCAATCCCTAACAGCAGGTAACAGGTGCACTATCGTATGATATTGTTTGACTGTGAAGCAGCCTTAATTAGAACACAATCCATCATTCATATGATCAGGTTGGATCACTTCAAGTTCTTTATTGTCGCATTACAAGACATAGAATGAATGTGAGGAGAAGCTGCGCAGTGCTTTTTTTTATACAACCACTAGAGGACGCCAGAGTCAGATTGACGTTACTGAAATAATTAAAACCTGTGCAAATTTGTGTCTGGAAATTTACGCTTTTAAGAATACAAATGTGTTTTAAATATGCACATGTTAAGAAATTACACTTTAAAGAGAAAAGTTGCTTGAGAGACCACAGTATTTCAGCTACATCTAGAAGATACTATCTCAATATGATGGTGATAATATGAGTCCATAGATAAGATAAGATAAGATATACTTTACTGTCCCCAAAGGGAAATTTGTTTTGGACTTTTGGATAGCTTGGTGGTCAAACTAGTTTCCCCTTGCTGATGCACTGTACACAAACACTGTAATGCCTACATGCTTGAGTGTATTCTGCAGAACTGCTTCGTCCAAAATGTGCTTTCCATAGTAACAAGAGAACAGCAACATTTAATTTACGGGGTGGCAATGGAATAGTGGATAAGACACAAACCTTTGGCGTGGAAGATCTGCGTACCCACTGTGTGTTACCAATGTGTCACTGAGTGAGACACTTAACCCCTAGTTGCTCCAAAGACATTGACCTCTCACATATATAGCAATTGTAAGTCGCTTTGGTTAAATGCGTCAGCTAAATGAAAAAATGTAATTTAGACAGTGCCCATAAACTGTACACACTTACCCCACAACGGTTGGCACAGCAGTTCTTAGCACTGGTCAGATGAATGTGGATGGCAGGAATTAGGACCTGACAGCAGACAGAAAAAGGAAGAGGAAAAAGACAAGAAAACAGAGAAACAAGGACATCATCAGAGTTATTTTCTCCGACTCGACAAAACTTGTCCAGAGCCACAGATGACATTGATGCCAGGGACCTTTGTTGCATGTCATCCCCTCACACTGTCTCTTCACTGTTTCCTGTGCCCATCTCAACTGTAATCTCTCTAAAAAGGCAAATATGATCAAGACATGTTTTCCTTACAAGAAACCTTTGTTGTGGTTAAGTGAATAATGACTGTTCAGAAACACAGGAAGCAGCATGACATTGTTATGTCACCATAAAACCTCTCAGAGAGGTTGGGGTGGAAAGAAAACACTCATATTGTTTCCTCAATGTTCATATGGGTTTTATGGGTCCTTTTGAAAAGCAATGACAAACAAGGTGTTTTGTTATGTGAATTTGGCCATATGTGCACATCACAAATTACAGTATATAGACATATCTGTAAAGCAGTCAAAGGTTGAACCAAAAACTTATAGCAAGGTGACAGTGAGAGGGGTATAACATGACAGAAGTGAATATAATGCTAATGAGAGAGAGAATACAACACAGATTACTACATTAGACCAGGGCTGGACTGGGACAAAAAATCATCCCTGGCACTTTTGGCTGAGGCGGCCCACCAAAATCGGTCGGACACCCCTCACCAATACACCATCATTCCATTTAGGGGGTCAAATTAGGGGTGTGAAGAAACACGGAGACGTGATATTGCACAAGTTTGTTGTCCACGACTACAAGACATTAAATAATTTTAATAGACCTACTATTTAGAAAAAATGTGAAACATGTTATAGGGGGTCCTCCCCCAGAAGATTTTTAGCATTAAACACTTAATTTGCTGCATTCTGGAGACATTTTCTGCACCAATTTCTGTTGGAAAAGTCTGTATTCTTATAAAGGGAAGCACAAAATTCAGGTGGCAATTCAGAACATAGAAAGATAACAAAATATAAATCAGCAATCAGTAGCTTATTATTATTTTTTGCTTAAGTTACTTTTTTTGGACAACACGGAGGTTTCTTCTGTATTTACACTGCATTGCAGGTTTTCTTAAGTGCAAATACACCTTTCTCATAGCATTTTCATTTGTTAATTAACATTTCTTGCTGCAACCTATATTTCAGAACATTTTTAACAAAAGCTTTCAAAAAGTGGTGGCTACATGTCCCACAGTGTAAATGATCCTCCCTCCCTACAGGTTGAGCTACTCCATGCTTACCACTTCACCTCCACTCTCCTCCTGCTCTCTCTGTCCCTCGGCCCTGTCACTTTGTCACTCTGTTTCGCTATAGATAACTATAGTATACTCAGTACTAGTATAGATAACTGTTGTTGTGATTTGGCGCTATATAAATAAAATTGAATTGAATTGAATTAATTAACACAGGCCTCCTCCTCTGCCTGGCAGTGGGCACCACAGCTCTTTTACTCCTTCAAGTGTCTGTGCCTGCACTATGCAGGGTACTGTTGAAGCTACTGCAGCCAAACATATAGGTTATTTTCGCGCATTTGGCGGCCTCCGTCTACACAAGAAACAGAGAGCAGAGTGGGGTGGAGTAGTAAGAGATGTGATTGGGCCAGCCAATGTCAGTATAGAAAATTACCCAATGGGCCGCTGTCCATGCTTTAAAGGCTGATCGTTGGTCCGTTTTTTAAAAACAGTTATATAAATAAATAATTTACGTTACACCGGCCCCAAAGGTGCGTCGGCCCACCGGACATTTGCCCGGTATGCCAGATTACCAGTCCAGCCCTGCATTAGACTAGACTCTAGTGAAGTGAAGTGAAGTAAAGTCAACTAAACTTAAATGGACTGAAATAAACCACTAACTACTAACCCACTGAATTAAATATAACTGCAAACTTAATCCCACTAGCAAGGCTCTGTTTTGAACAGTTTAAACCTCTTTGGAAGCCTTGATATTATTTGCACTGAATGTAATCTTATCAAATCTACTCACCATGATTCCGCCGCCTATCAGGCCTCCCATATATTTGACCTCCTGAGTGATTTGTTCATTTCCTTCCTCATCTTCGGCTGCAAATTTTGTATTAAAATCAGGGAAGAAGAGCATGATGTTGCAGATGATTGACACTGGAGCCAAGACGTAAAGAGGGACGGCAACAAACTTAGAACATGCTCCTGTACACATGATGCCGGCAGATGGAAGGAAAAACTGCTAAAAATTCAAAACGCTGAAAATGTCTCAAACCCCAAGTACTCCGCCAACGTCAATATTCAGACTCTTACAGATCGGTCAAACCTATTCTTCTGACACGCTTGCAAAAAGAAAAGATGATAAAATGCTAAAATTTGATAATTGTTAGCTATCACACTACATGCATCAAATGTCAGAGAAAGGGAATTGAAGAACTGTTTAAATATATTTGAAGTTTTAGTGGGTGGAGGGTATAAAGGTGGAGCCACAGGAGATAAGGACATGCAGCCTGATTATCAACCCCATTACAATCCAGGCTTTATGTCATGGGTGTGTGCTGTGTGCATTTGTTTCCATGAAAGTCATCAAAACCATTTGTTTGTAGTCCACAGTTTAAAATTTTTTTTGTGAGCATAACACTTCTGATTAAGCACTGAATAGCAAATAACAGAATGGACAACTGACTGCTGGTTTTTTATAACATTGTTACAAATCTGAGGAATTTTTCCTTTAACTGTTTTTTTCATTTTGAGTTTTGTTATTATATTATTAATCAACAGACGTTGGGATTGGGGTTATATGAAAATATCTTGGCTAATGGTGTGTTGAGATTGAACGCAAGACACGTTTTGCAATATTACACAGTTTGTGGAAGAAGGTGGGCACAAACACACAAATTTGATCTCGGTGGTGAGACATCTGTTTGAGTGAATAGTGATTCGGTTCGGTGTGCTATTGGCTAAATTCTTATCCCAAAGCTAAAACGTACAGTACAGAAATAAGGAAAAGGAGATAAACTGGAGCCAAATCTGAGCTGTCACACAAACACGAACTCCAAACAAACAGTTCTTTGTATGTTGATAGCTACAGCTGACATCTGTTCATTCCGTTGTGTATGTAGAAAATGTAGAAAACACTTCCGGAGGTCAAATTTGTGTAAATAACATGAAGCCAAAATTTGCTGTGTAATTTTTTCAATTGACATGGTAAATATAATATTCAAAACAGGACGTGTGTTTCCAAACAAATGTTACTGGTTTTAATATTAATTAATCATTACCATTTTGAGATCCTAATTATGTAATTTAGTAATCCTAACACGGGCGTCCTTTTTATGACTTTTTTTGGTGGATATCTTATTCCTTAATTGGACAGGGACAGAAGAGAAAGGACAGGAGGAGATGGCTAGGGACAAGTCTCCTAACCCCTTAGGCCACGGGGGTGCCCAGTGCAATAATAGTGAATATTAATATGGCAATTTATTGTATTACATTGATGACTACTCAGTCATACATCTAGAAGAGTCCAGAAAAAATGCAAAATGGGTTTGAGGCTTTGATGCAGAATATATGCCGTCTCCACATCCTCATCCAGCCAGTCAGATCCATCCCTCTCTGTCAGAGATGCACCTTCAGCCTCCGTGTCGCCGTTTTCTTTTTTAACGGCCTACAGTATATTAATTATTTTCCTTTAACCTTAACATGAAGTATGTTTTATCAGAACACAGTCATAGAACACTGATAAAGAGCTGTTTGTAGAAGCACCGGTGTGTGTGTGTGTGTGTGTGTGTGTGTGTGTGTGTGTGTGTGTGTGTGTGAGAGAGAGTGTGTTTGTGATGTGACTACCTTATCAGTGAATTATGGCACTATTGAAATGTGTAGAGATTATGGAGATGGACTCTAACCAACATCTGTCAGGGTTGTGTGTGTATCAGAATATACACGGATATAGCCATAAAGCTTGAAGGATAAATGTAGCTCCAGTCTAACAGGTCCACAGCATCACCAGGTCACAGTGAGTCATTGTTTCCATCATCGCCTGGCCTTGAAGTTTAACAAAAATTAACTGTGTGGTATAATTAATAATGATGAACATGATGGATACTCAATATAGGAAGAGGAGAACATAGGTATACAGTTTAGTATGTTTCTCTTTTGGGAGCCCTGACTTTATCTTTGGGTGGTTTACATACAATATATCCAGGCAACAGACTCCAAAGTCATATCAATCCTAAGCACTGAACCATGTTCGTGTATCTCTTCGTGATTTTGTCGTCCATTTAATCTTGTATCCCCTACCCAGTCATGCTGTGATTTTTTGTCGGGTATTCCCAAATCCAGTCACAGCACTGGTTCAGAAGAGATCAAAGGTCATGGAACAGGATTCATTGGACATGAAGTCAAGGACTATACTCACATAATTTGAATTTGTTTTGTTTAACTTGAATAATTTGAAATATAATTTATGAGTTTGGAATATAATTACAACAAACCTGTAATTGATTGCAATATTTTGACATTAGATTCAGTTGCTCTGAAACTGTATTTAATCCTCACTGAAAATTCAACTTTCTACATACATTCACATTCAGTTCTTATAATTCAAAATCAGTTATTACAATTCAATTTCAGTACATGTTTTCGCACATGTTTTTTTACCATTTATATATGCTATACAAGATACAAGGTAAGGTTTATTAGTCATTATACAGCACAAGGCTGCATAAACGAAATAGAAATTTGTAGTTCCTTCATGCTACACACACAACATATAATTAATTGTAGGCCTATGTTAAAATATGGTAACACATTTTACATATTTACATACACGTATACACCCCGAACATTCCACAGTGCATTTTTTGAATTTTCATCTGGGGTGAATGTAATCAGCAACGGCCAGATGATAATATGAAAGTTTCATCTTCACAATAAACAGTCTGACATTTGGAGTCCATCTTGACTGTGTTTGAGCACCAAGCATCATCGATGTAAAACACAGAGTCCACCTCCTCTCATCTTGCCAGAGTCTTGCGCTGACAGTTCTGAACATGGACCACCTGCTGAGTGCTTGATCCGGGATGTTGATGGTGCAGGTCTCTGTAACAATGTGGGCACAGCAGTCTCTGAATTCCATTGTCTGGTCAACATGGGTCCCATTTTGTCCAGACTGGCTCTTTATGAGCAGAATAAGTCCAAGCTGGGCCAGCATGGCTCCTCTCCTGGCTCTCTTTCCTCTCCTCTGAGCGATCACGGCACCTGCTGTGGCGCCTGGTCTGGTTGTTTGGGCCGGGTGGATCGTGGTCTGCTGCTCTTTGATGACTTCATCTTCCAATGACTGTATTAATGTCAGAGGTAACACGGAAATAGCAGATAAAAAACAAAACTGTAGCGATGTTTGAAGGAGTTACCGGCTGCTGCTTCTACAACCCAGCTACCAGTTGCCATAGCAACACATATATAGACAACACCCAACCGTTGATCATATATTAAAAGCTGTTCTGAAAAGAAGGGTTTTCGTTTTTTGAGCATGGATGTGTTTAGGTATAGAGTTCCAGACAGATCGGGTACCTATGGAAAAGGCTCGACGCTTAGTCCTGAGTGGCGGAGACAGGAGGTTTGAGCAGAGGCTTCAGGAAGGAGTATGGTGGTGGAGCAGGTCAGTGAGGTAGGAGGGGGCCTGGTTGTGGTATGCTTTATGAGTGAGGCGAAGGACTTCGAATTGGATCAGGGAACCAGTGGAGGTTCTGGATACCATGATATGCAGTTGAAAACTCTAGAAAACTGGTAACTAGACCATGAGTCAAGGTTATTTTGTCACACCACTTTTTCAAAGGTCATGAAGGAACAAACAATAAAAGACTAAGTTAATTAATAATGGACTCTGGAGTTTAGACTTGTATATAACAGCCTTATTGTTGTTTATTAATAAGGTATAATAGCCATTAGGAAAAAAATGAATTAACAACAGATTTTTTTTCAATAGACTAATATTCTTCTTTTACTCCATAAATATTACAACCTGTCTTTCACTTGGAACTATCCTGCCCCTCCCAAATGACGATTGATTACATAACAGTGTGACAGGTGAAGTTTATGAGGTTTTATTAGTCACACTGCTTTAAGGTGGTTATAAATATCTCCTGTTTGTGCCTGGTACTACCACTTCTGATACACATGAGACACACCCACAAACTTGCCACAGCATCATCCACACTAAGGTGATAAAGCAGTGTGTTATCATAATTAGCACAGAAGGGGGGAAATGGGACATCCTTTGCGAAAGATCCCTCTCCTCAGAAGGTTATGGGTGCAGTAGGAGTTGAGAAGGAGGAAGATAAGAAGGGTATAACAAGTAATGGAAATACAAAGTGCAATGACAGAGAGGCAATTAAAGTAAGGCCACAGAAATAAGTACTAAGGAGTTGTAGTAATTGTAGTGGCAGTAGCACTACAATGAGTAAACAGAAACACACTGGATAATGTAGTGCAATGCCACAGGTGAAAAAACTTTTTAAATGACTTAAAATGAACACTTAAAGGGGCATTATGTAGTTTCCAGCTGCCACTAGCGGTCCGGTTTTAACTGCAACCAGGCATGTGCTCGTAAGCGTGCTCGCTTGAACTCATGAGCGAGCATAATCCGAAACACAACCACTTTCGAACAGAAATACCAAAATAAACGCAGAAACACCAGCATGCAGGCTGTGGCTTTTCACACAGACATGATCAGGCTCTGTTACTTCAACGTTCCCGTCTCAGAGGCAGCTCAACACCGGCGCCGTAATGTTACTTCATTCAGCACAGCGAGCCGCATATTGGCACAATCCTCCCGTAAAAAAAGGCAGAGTGACAGCGGCTATAGACTTACAGGGAGACTGCTTCACACAACATGCTGGAAACTCAGGTAAACCCCTACTGCAACGTTACAGCAATAGGTTTATCAGCTGCAGGTTGAACTAATCCATGTGCTCATTACATGATAATGTTACATTTACTGCATTTAGCCGACGTGCTACATCGTTAGTTCGCCTGCTGCTTTAAGTAGCTATCTTTACTATCTGTGTATCTTTCACCAGAGGCTCAGCAATGTCAGCACAGCTAAATGTGTTGGATGATAACGAAACGGGTAGTGAGCTGGGCTGAACATTGAACGAGATTGTGTCACACTTTATAATAATAATAAAGACCACAGTAAGTAAATTTACTGTAGTGTTAGTGGATGGCTTTTCCTCTGGGTTGTATATTATGCGGGTCATGTTTGTTACAGCGATTGAGAGGTGGAGAAGTTGTGTACCTGAGTAATAGTGATGGCAAGTTCGAGTCTTTTGACAGACTCGTTCATTCAAATCTCGTTCATTAAAATGAACTGTCTCACAATCTTTCC